AACCCTAAACCCCTACGAGTGTGGAGCAGCTGAGGCTGCTACCCTGGTACTGCTCTATGCCACCCACTTTGTGGTGCATGCCCTGGGCTAGATTTAGGGCTCAGGGTTCAGGGTTTAGGTTTGAAGCTTAGGGTTTGCAATCTAGGGTTTAGGGATGTTGGATGATAGAAGCAGTGATAAGAGCATGGTTAACAAGGTCATAGTGCAGTGGAAGCAATTCCGAGACAACTGTGTCCTGCCAGTTATTGTTATTTATAGCATGCAGGCAACAACAGTGCTTCGCATTACCCCGCCAAAACGAGGCAAGAAGAAGTTTTGCAAACAATGCAAGCGCCAACTACTAAGGCGCAAATTTGAGCATGAGATAAGCTGTCTCATTAGAATCTTTCCTAACAATGGGTGAATCTGACTGAAACTTACGATTGGGATGACATGTCAGGTAGTTCCCATTTTATCTTCCATTTTCCCCAGGTAACCCCAATATAACCAATATACTATAGAACATGTCAGGTAGTTTCCATTTATTTTCCATTATCCCCAGGTAACCCCAATATAATATAACCCCAACATAACCCCAATATACTATATAACATGTCAGGTAGTTTCCATTTTATTTTCCATTATCCCAAGGTAACCCCACTAGAACCCCAATAGAACCCCAATATAGTATAGTAGTTTCCATTTTCTTTTCATGGATGTTGCCATCTTCAAGCCCTGGTGAGCCAAACCGACAGCCCTCGGCCCCTTAGTCCCCCTTAAGTAGATAGAATATGGCTTTGGGTGTATTATAATAAGGTCCCCGTATAACCCATATTCTATCTACTTAAGGGGGACTATAGCTGAAGCATCTTCGTGCGGTTGGCAGGTTCGAACCTACTGGATGCCAAACATCAAGGCGCCTGGAGTCAATACGTTGTGCTAAGCCTGCTAAGCCAGGGACTTGCGAAGAGACCGTTAGGGATTCTACGCTTAGGGTTCAGGGCCAGTAAGCCCACAACAGTTCAGTTTGGAAGTCTCCCTCCATGCCTCTCTTCTCCAAGCCCTAAAAATGCGAAACTCCTGCAGCCTAAGCACTGGATAAGCCTTCAACTCTCAACCCTTGAGCCCTTGAGCCGAACCCTTCGACAGGCGCTCACGGCACAGTCGACGGCTCTGGAAGACCAGTTCCAGGTTCCGACTTTAGAGTTTTGATTATCACTTAGGAGGATCCCCCCACCCTGTAATAGTGGTATAATAGGAATATAAGAGGATCGTAATATAATCCCTACTATCCCCTATAGTCACTATTACAGGGTGGGGGATCCACCTAAATTATCACACACGCTCTTGCAGTATCAGAAATAATCAATATAACCCCTATAATCCCGGGAGCTTCCATTTTCTTTTCCATTATCCCAATACATAACCCCAATATAATCCCAAGACTGCAAGAACAATGTGGACGTCCGCACTCCGAAGAATAGCCATTGTCTTGGTTCCAGTCTCTTCAAGATTCATGGCGTCAAGGTTCGATCAATAACAGGACTGTTTGGCCACATACCTAGCTAGCCGCTCAACCCTACATTCCGATATCAGAACAATTGCCATTTCACATTTCATTTGCTTTTCCATTTGATTTGCATTATTTGGTGTTTCGTGACAGACCCTAAAAATTATAGATCCTGGTATCTTAACAAAGCCCTACTGGACCCCTACATTCCCTGGATCATCCTTCTACAAGCCCTACTCAGCTCACCACAGGTCTCCCAAAGCCGGGTGCGGCACGTGGCCGAGCCGGTAGCTTTCTCCGGGGGAGGGGAGGCACCCTGTACTGGCCAAATCATGTGAGGGGCGGGTACATCGGGATTTGCAGGATTTAAGACCCTAAATGATTTGAACAGCTGTGCTTGCTCTTAGTTGAACACCTGAGGTTTTTCTTCTTTTTGCCTTCAGTGGAGGTGTGTCAACAGCTGCTACTCATTCTGTTCCTTGTGGTTATTAGCAGCAGCTGCTGCCGCTGCCGCTGCAGCTGCTAGACAACGTCGACGACGTCGACCACCACGGCCGCCACGATCACAACGACCACGACGACAACCACGACCACAAAGGCCACCACGACGACCACCGCGACGACCACCGCGACCACGACGGCCACGACGGCCACGACGGCCACGACGGCCACGACGGCCACAAAGACGAGTAGTATTAGTACCAGTATAGTCTAGCACTATAGTACTATAGTATTATAGTACCATCGTACTATAGTACCACCACAACTACGACTAGGACGACAACGACCACGACCTCAGCCGTGACCACAATGATGACGCTAGTGACGACGACAACTAGCACTCGTACAAGTTAATTAGTACTAGTAGTGCTAGCACTACCACGGCTACGACTAGGATGCTGCGGACGACGACCACGACCACGACCATGACGACCACGGCGACGACCATGACCACGACGACAGCCACTATTACTCTTGCCGCTACTACTACTGCTGCTACTACCACCACGACTACTACTCCTACTCCTACTCCTACTCCTACTCCTACTCCTACTCCTCCTACTACTACTACTACTACTACTTGCTACTGGTGAACCCTAACCCTGAGATGGCTAGCCTCAACACCGCCCTGTCCTCCCTGCCGCCGTCCGAGAGGTCGAGCGACAACGAATGGAGGAGCACTTCGAGAGGCACGGGCTTGTTGTTGTGGTAGTCGTAGTAGTGGTATTGACCAGGCCTCTTTAGTGGCTGATAAGACATGACTATGTGTAATTGGAGTATGAGGAGTACGTACGCCCTGGATGAATATACATGCGTATATGTATATACATATATACATGTATATGCATATGGAGAAGGTGTATGCGCTTCTTGAAGGTAACTCATGTCTGGAATTGTCCTAGATAGTTGTGGTAGTTGTGGATGCCTTCCATATGATTTTCATATATGCCTAGGCCACTCAAGGGCATTCGTGTTGTGAGAACTCCCATGAACCCATTTGTCCCATCACGGGAACCATACAACGTACTGTCAGGGTACAGTCAGAAAAAGACTGTTAGGCGGCTTGCTTGCGAGTGATGCAAGTAAACCCAAGTCCTATAGTAGTTTCCATTTTTCTTTTCCATTATCCCAATGTAACCCCCAATATATACCCTGTAATCCCTATATAACACCTATAATCCTTGTAGTTTCCATCTTCTTTTCCATTATCCCAATAGCGCCCCAATATACATATATATATATATATATGCTACCCCCCCCCCGTACCTACCCTTTGTGGCCTTCATAAGGGGATTTC